CGCGGGAACATTGTCCTGATGCGTACTACTTTGCTTTGTGCTGCCTTACATTACCACTGCCTGCTGAACGCGAGAACATTGTCCTGATGCGTACTACTTTGCTTTGTGCTTTGTGTTGCCTTACATTACAAAATACAAAAAATATTCTAAAAAAGAAAAGACTCTTCTGTTGGTGTGTGCTCTCATTTGTCCTGTCTCGTGGCTGTGTTTGGTCCACATCAGGGCCAGTTTTGGTTTAATTTTCCATTTTTGAATATTTTCTAATAATACCTGTCTTTTATTCTTAAAAAAATACAAATTATTCGCTTTAACGAATAGATTCGTTATTATTTTTAATATCGAATCGAATCGTATTTTATAACGACGTTTCGGAAGCCGCTTTGCGCATGCGCGATCGCGTCCGCCATTTTAACGAATCGATTCGTTATATCCTTAACGAATCTACCCCGCGCCAATAACGACGCTTCGGAAAAGTTTTTGCGCATGCGTGGGGGTCCGCCATCTTTACAAAATGTTTTGTAAATATTTACGAAATTTCGTAAATACCAAAACTTTTTTTGGGAAAGTTTTGTAATTATTTTAAATATCGAAACAAAAAAACACCCCAATTACAAATCGATTTTAGAAACAAATTTTTTCTTGATCAACCAGGCCTAATATCTACTCATCAAATGAACAGCTAATAAATAGTAGGAGAATAAAGTATAATCCCTGTATCTGCTGGAGACCCCCCCCCCCCCGGTTGATACCTGAAGCCATGGATAATAGCACTGGAGCACCTGGAGAGCTACACAAACGTTTTCAGGAGGGGATAGATTTTGGAATATGAGTAAGTGAAATTATGGATATCTAGTCCATGGATTAGGGAGTCATACTTTATTCTACATTTAAAACATTTTATAAAATAAGCTTTATACAGATCCTAAGCCCGCTGATAAATTTCTACTGATAATTTTTGCTGTTCAGGAGTTTTCTCTTTCTATCTGATGTACCTTCTGTGTAGTGAGTCAGCGAGAGCACCAAGCAGCATACCATAATGAATAAGAGTTAACACAACTTTATAATGGTGCCTTCTCAGAAGTGCCAGCCAGCTGCTTGGTGTTTCATTCTTCATCCAAAGTTCAGTGACCTCTGAAGTAGGCCCTGCTGAGCAGCTGTCAGCACTCCTGCCACTTATAGATTTCCTGTCACTTGGCTCCATCATTGAGCCTCCTCCAGTAAGGCAGCTTTAATTGTGAATGCCTTTAAGCAGCAAGTGGGTCTGCATTTTCCTCTATTGTTCACACAAATGCAGAAGCAATGCCCATATGACATTAATAGAAATTGTTGATTCCCACATGTGAAGAAATGAACTTTCATCAGCAAATATGTTATGCTTTATCAGGATCCCAAGATGCTTGAAAAAGAGAGCAAAGACTCTTATTTTCAGACTACTCCTTTCTGTGTAAGACAGCAGTAACAGCAGTAACAGAAATTGAGAGGGTTAGTTGTTACCTTTTGATGAAGTTAACCCAAATCTGAATGACTGAAAGGGGTTATGTGGATGGTGGGACATGAGCAACAACAAGGAAATTCTCAAGAGAACAGTTTTCATGCAATTTAAAGATTTTTGTTCAATGACTGCAGGTTCTATATGACACCAAGCTTTAATTTCAACTTTTAAGGAAATATACAGATCACAGGATCCAGTCTCCAAACTAGGCTAAGTCCACTGAATGGATCAGACTACAATTCAGAGGGGATTCAGCAGTGGGGCTACTTCCAACATGAAGGAGATTCACCAGTGATGTTGCCCCCCACTCTTTCTAACTAGCCCCCTTAAGTTCAGACCAATACCAAGAATGGATTTACCACCCCAGTGAGACTGAAAGCAGAATAGCCACTGTTTGCTTTTCACAATGGAGTTAAAACTCTTAACTGAGTTTTATTTCCCTAGCTGTTTTCAAGCATCATCTTCTGCTATTAAACAAACAGCACAAAAAACACACTCTAAGGCTTCCTGTGTTTTGCTTAGGACTACATTTGGTGAAATTGACTGAATAATTGATTTTTACACTTTCTTCCAAGTCTTTTGTTCTGCTTATATCATCAGTCCTCACAAAACAGAATTGATCTCATCTCCTTGTATTGTGTGCTTAATACTCACAAGCAGAATTAAATCAGGTACTGATGAAAGGCTTTCACATAAAATACTCAGGGACTACAATAGCATTTTCCCTCTTTATAAATGAGAAAAAATACCATATTCCCCAACAAGACAAAGGGATATGCTTTATGCTGTTCCAATAATGTAAAAGGAGGTATATTTTGTATTTGTAATAATGAGGAAAATAAACAAAGTGCAACATACAGAAGGTGAAATAAAACAATTATTGATCACTTGCTTTGTGGGCCAGAAGTAATGCGTGGAGTAATGATCCTTTCCTTTTATTAAAACAGTAATTTACAGCTGCTTCTGAAATGGAAATGTAACTATCCGGCAACCATAGTATCAGGAAACCTCAATTTTTCAAAAGAGTCTTTGGTCCTCCATTGTTTCAACATTCCCTGTAGTTGCAGATATTTCAAAAAGGGCACGAGGAAGGGGTGTAAATCTTCAACTATTTTATTCTTTGATGTGATGATGTATAATTACTCCTGCTATGGGAGAAATGAATATTTCTCTGCCATATTCTCTGTGTATTTGGTCATCCTAAGACTTTGCTCAAGAATCATTTTGCACAAAAAGTGGTCCTTCACACAGTGTTTTCTGCGGATGTAATGCATTCTCTGTGTAGAATACAAGTTGGTGAAAAAAAGCCATATGTTTTCTAATTCCTGTGCAACACAAGAGGAGACAATGATACTAATATCAGTAGACAATTACA